TGCTTTAGGGGGTTGCATTAAGTTTTTTCGGGAAATATAAATTTGGCCGGATTTCGAGATATTTTAGGGCAAAATTTGGTTGAAAATGGGTCTTAAAATATTTGCGTGCCTATACATATAAAAGGGTGAAACCATTTTATGGGAAGATTTCGTCTGTCCGTCTGTCTGTCTGTCTGTAGGCACGATAAGTCTTGAACGAAGTAACTCATTTAAATTCTGTTTTCGGATATCGAAATCTACTTTTTGAAGTACGGACAATTTCTAAGATAAGCCTTGAAGTTCATAAGGTCACGGTGATGAGGTCAGCTATCAAAAATGTTAAATTTTTTGTTTGAACCGTTTTATTTATGGGGTGAGGATTTCAAAAATTGTCATCATTATGATAACCCCGTCCCCACGTAAACGGGGTCAAAGTTATAAAAGGTCGAATTATTAATTTCTAGCGTTTCAGACGTTAGTTCAGAAAACGTAACGATATCCCACTTGGTTTCACCCCATTGTTACATCCCTTTCACCCCGGTTTATTCCCTCATACAATCGAAATCTTACAGAGAAAGGAGGGCTGAAGCAGGACACGCCTCACCATTTGTTTAAACCAGCCAATCCTGTAATCCAGTTTGGTCTCAGAGACATGGGTGTACAGACGAACAAGTAACGTAAGAAAAATGTGGAGGATTGTTACCAAAATTAATTAGAGAATTGTCTTGTTAATCATCAACGGTCAGTTGCTTGAGGCAAAATTGGATTATTCTGATGGGGAAACAAGTCGCATTTCGTTGCTTGCGTTTAAAGTTTGAGTGCAATGCAGTTTCTGATTTGAATCCCATTGTTGACGGGAAAACAAAGTAACAGTTCTCATCATTATTACTATAACGTGTAAAGTGAAGAATGCAAGCAAGCCGTATTATTATTATTATTATTTATTTCCACCTTCTTGGGATCAAATTCTCAGAAATTTGTCATACACCACACATCAATCATTCGCAAAAACTTGTTACAACTCCTGTTATGCAACACCTCTCTTGTTGTCTGTGAATTGGGTGCCTCTCTCTCTTATCCAGTGGCCGCGGAAGCCGTGGGGACATGTGGGGACATTAATATTGTAGGATAGATAGGGGAGGGACGGGTTTATAAATATATAAGATGGGCAGATGGTGGGGCATTAAATGTCATTGTCCCTCTGTCCCCCCGTTTCCGCGGCCACTGCGCTCATCTGTCCACAACCCTTTTTTTGTACAATTTACATCCACAAATTTTTTTTATTCGTCAAATACTTGAATTTTGCACCTGATCGATCCTTTCATGAGAAAGTTCATGCAGATGATAAGAACTGTAAATAAATAATCGCAAAATCTGCACTCGGGAGATCATTTTCATCAAGGAGTTCATTATGCGGAAGGAAATTAGATTATGCTTCTTCAATCCTGGACTTTGAAAGTCGGCCCTTCTTTTCTGGGTGGGTGGATGATTATTCGATAATTTTATTGATTTTGAATCCTCTGATAAAGAAGAAAGGTGGAGTGGAGACCATCCCCGAGGATTTCTTGGAACTTCGTCTGAGAATTCATTCACTCTTTATGAATGCCAGTCCCATTTTCAGGCAACAATAACGCATACAAATAAGTAAATACCACTCCGTTCAGCGTTCACTTTTAACCCGTATCTAATACACATGTACATACATAACAAATAACAACTACTTCCACTTTTTACAACTTCCAACCGATATCTCCAGCTCGGTCAATTGTATTTACGATTTTGTAGCATTGTTGGGGTACATACGTACTTTTCCTCGAGTTTTGAGTGACATCCGCTCCGCAAATTCTTTGCGATCAAGATACAGCTTACAAATTATGTGGGGAGAGATGCTAATACGTATGTTTTGCTAGGAATAATTAGCCGAGTTGCTACTAAATTATGGACAAATTTCGAATTTTTTCGAAGGTTACAGTTTCGTCAATACATCATAAGCATGGATACATATGTGAAGGTGACCCCCATCCAATCCTATCCACCCACACAAATGACACAAAATTATTGTGCTTGCTTGTGTCCTTTACTCAAACTTGTTCAATAATTCAGGACAAGTGCAGGACAGAGTAGAAAAATACCGTGTTTTTCCGCAGAGAAAGCTTAAGTTTTTAGAGCTCATCCATTTGAAGTATGTACGTTCTCGATCGCGACATCAATTAACGGTACAACTTTTTTTGTGAGTATATTTTTTTCTATGTGAAATGCACCCTTTCCTTCCGTACAAATGAATTCGTTTATTGCCACAATATAATACTATCAATCTGCTTGTTTAGACTTGTTTGATGTATTATCATTTCATTATTATGGGGCATTATGGGATATGATCCTTTACCCTTTGCCAGCAGTAAAAAAAGCATGAAGATCACGTCATCATGACACAATTTGAAGTGTACTCCGTGGTTTTGAAGTCCCGTTCTTTTCATGTATTTATTATTATTATTATTGTACCCAAAGTTTCTGAGCACGAGGAGAGCTAGATTCGATAATTATTAGTTGAAAAGACGTGGAAAAATCAAGTCGAAACTTCCACTCGAGTTATAAAGTAGCCCATCATCATGATACATACATACATACATTGAGGTCTTTGAAATTTTTCACTGTTTTTTTGTTTTTTGTCCTTTTTTTACAGTAGAAAAGGTGTGCTGATGGTGGTGGTGGGTGAGACATGAAGTGATTCATAAATCGATGCAATGTTTCATTTCTGTCCGTTCAGAATCTGTCGTAAATTCTCGAAATTTAGAGGAAAAAAAACGGTGATTCAAGTATTTCTCGGCCTTTCCGATATTTTGTTTGATCAAGAAGAGGAGCGTTTCTTCGTTGCACTTTTAATGCTCTTTTCCTCCAATTTTATGACTTTTCCTACTTGAAAAGGTTGATTTTTTGCACTCATCTCACTCACCTGTGTCAGTGTGAAAGGGGTTAAATTGTACCGAACCTTTGCTGCCCTGTGGGGCGTTGCTTTGCTGCTGGAGAGAGAGTCGTGGGAGGCAAAAGTTCCAAGTGCTCAGGTGACAGGAAGCAGTGTTTTTGTCACCATTTGTCTTATCATCAGAGAGAAATGACCGACAATTAATTACTGCGGAGAATGTCGTCACTTGTTGAACGTCATCTTCCTCTCATCATCTTTTCGGCAATTTTGACAATAAGTCAAACACATAACGAAACTAACGGTGAATGGTGATCAAATAAACGCAATAATCTGGTAGTGAAGTGACACCGTTTTATTAGACACGTGTCAATTTAGATAGATTCATTTTCCGTGAAAAAAATACACTACGGATGGCACTTTCTTCGCCAAGGGACCCCTTTGAACCACAATAAAACAAAAAAATAAAAGGATTTATTCCACAAAAAAACGAGTTATCAATTTTCTCTTCTTTGGGCAATCAACCTGTCGATGTCGACCTGGTTTCTGGCATGTATTCGTTCCCAACAATTGATTGTTACGAACAATAACCTTCTCATTATTAAATAACCGTTACGTAGGTTTTTAGGTATTACCAGACTGGGTGGTTAACTTTAGTTTCCTGGTTGAGTTTTAGGTTTTCTTAAAGTTTGTTTTTATGAAATTTTAAACTCTTTGACAAATGTTTGTTTTTTATGAATTTTGGGAGACCTTTACCCCTAATTTCTCTTGTTGAATGGGTGGAGTTGCAAAATATTTTTTTTCTCCAGAGGGGTGAGAAATGTGTAGAGATTTCTGCTACCCTTTCAATCCGACTACGGCCTCTTTCTCGAACATACCTTAAATTTTTGTGTACTTGGTCACAGTGGCCGCGGAAGGACAGAGGGACAATGTCCCCCCGGTTGTTCGATGTCGGCATCATCTCCACATCTTACATAAACCCGGCCCTCCCCCCCGATCCTACAATTTTAACTTAATGTCCCCACCCCTTCCGCGGCGCCTGCTTGGTCATCATCATCTCGGTTGGTATGCGACAAGGCGGAGGGAGCGAGAAGGGAGGGAAAGAGTGTGCTTTCTTAACTGAATAGTTGCCTCAAATTGGACCGATTTACAGGATCCACTTGACCTCTCGCTGTGCGCCAACAAAGCAATCGAAAGTCCTATAATTTACCTAAGAGACCGGCAACGAAAGAGGAAATAGTTTTGTGAATGTGTTGTGTTCCTCTCTCTTTCGTCATATTTCACAAAAAAAAACACAACCACCGAAACAGAGATACTGATCTCACCAAAAACAATTATTTTACGCCTCTCGTCTCTCTCTGTGGATTTTCTCTTCTCGCGACGACACTTTTCATCTTTTCATCTCGAACGGTTTAATAAAAAATGAAAAACGTCTGGTAAACACGTCCATTAAGGTCTTGACCGACCGGGTTTTCACCAAAAGGCTACATATTTTCAGGGTTACGTTACATTACAAACAAATAAAGTTAATTTTTTTAGTGGTTGGTGGAAAACCCATGACGTGATCGTTTTATTAACGGCAACAAATATTTATGTATGTACATATGTCGTCATGCTCATAATTTTATGATGAAATTATGTATATAACGGGGACAAAATATGTAATGACGTAATTTCCTTTGGAAAGTCGGTAAAATTTTTACTGGGTTGCAAACATCCGAATTAATTGAGTCACCGAGGGACTCACCACGTCACCGTTTGTAACCTTCGTATGTAACTGAAGGTTTATGTATAAGCTTACAAACTTTTACGAACTTTTGCACACACATTTCAAGGAAATTTGGCGTACGAAATTTGCGAACTGCAATTTTATAGTTCGTAAACAATTCGACTGTTTTATATTTGAATTTTCAGTCGAAATTAAGGTTGCGAGACAATTTTTAGCAAATTTTTTGTTTACGAAAATGTTTCCAAAGTCAAGCCAGCGCGTATAAACTTATAAACCTAACGAAGTTTACAAACTTGACGTGAAGTCCATCCTCATTATTCTTTATTTTCCCTCAATTCCTACTAAATTTCCATATTTAAATTATATTTCCAGTCTTGGCCGACGCCCATTTTCCAGCCCATTCCATCGGGAAAAGTTCGGGGGCCACGGTCCTTCGCGCGGATGGGATTCCCGTCCCAATTCTGCTCTCGTCCATCATGCGCCTTATCAATTTGGACACTTATGTGACCCACCCGGTAAGAAAATAATACCAGAAAAAAAACTAGTCTCATCTCAAGTGTTGTACACTTAAAGTTTTTCATTCATCTTAATTACGTAACTGCCTGCGCTCTTGTTATGTTACATCACTTACTTTACTTAAATATGTGCACAGGCAACCGTGATGGCCGTGGCAGAGCAGGACAAAGGGTTAAAAGTTCCCATATGGGACACTTACTCGAAAATTTTGAAACAGCGGCACAACGGAGACGTAGGCATCGCCTATTTGGAACGGTTCGAGTTTTACGAGCGGGCCAAACGAGCAGTCGTCATTGTTCAGACGGGGTACGTACAATACGGCATTGATCAAATTCTAAATTTTACGGACATACATAGTCATTCACATTCAGTTCTTCTTCTTCTTCTTTCAGAGAAACTGCAAAATACGGCAATATAATTCTCACCAATGGACTCGTCACTCCGCAGCCAGAGATTCCGTTTTGGGAGAGTTGAACAACAACGGAATGAATAGATACACACTTTCCACATAAAATAAAATGCTGCTCTGCTGCAAATTACAAAAGTCACCCTTTACAAGACAATATTGTAAAAGAGTTTAGAAAAAAAAATAAATGGAAAGAATTTCCCAAACTGCAAACTTATTACTGTCACAAGTGCGTTGAATATGTAAATATCTACAGTGGCCGCGCAAACTTGTCCCCACGGTTGTTCGATGTCGGCATCATCTCCCCATGTTATACAAACCCGGCCCTCCCCTATCCTACAATATTAATGTCCTCACATGTCCTCACACCTTCCGCGGCCACTAATCGCGCGTAAAATACAGAACGACTAATCAGATTCAGAAAAGTAATTGATGTGACTAATTTGACAAGGGTTGCATGAAAATGTTCTAAATTTGTCAGGAAATAATGCACAATTGATTCAATAAGTGAGTCTTACAAACTACTTGCTTGCTTCGTGGGTATCTTTTCCTCGACATGTTTCATCCTCTCCTCTCACGAGTGGTTGGTTTGAGTTCATTTGTAATGTTGTTCATTAAAAAAAATCAAACACAAACCAACCTGCGACCGATTCAAAACTTAGTAATTGAAGAGAGAGAGAGAGAGAGACGAGCTGCTGAAAATGCTGACAGACCAGACCACAGGCCTTCATTGTCCTGAAGAAAACATGCAAATCATAATTCTAGGAATCGATCCTCTTGTCTTGTCTTCGTATCCAACATGCAAAGACTTTACGTACGTACGTGTTTCAGCAGGGCACGATTTTTCCTATCCCTTGACTTTGCGTCCTGTTAATTAATTTGCTTATTGATCATCTTCGATGGTAACTTGGGAGCAGAGCAGCAGGAGCGTGTGTACCTTAACAAGTCCAATCAGAAGGTACTACCGAGAGGGAGGAGGTCGCAGGTTTTTTGATGCAGGTAGAATTTCCCAGCTATCTACGTCAGGGCATAAATTTGGAGTATGTGTACCTTAACAAGGACAAGGACATAAATTAAATAAGTGGATGGATGGATGGATGGATGAAAGGGGGCAGTACGGTAACAGTTACGGTAACTGATACGATTTACGTTCTAGGTAGTTGAGAAGTTGAGACGGATGAGAGTCGATGAGGCAAATTGAGACTCTGTGTAAGAACGAAAAGATTGAAAGCGACAGCTCTGGGCTTCAATGTAAAATGTTGAGTCGTTTCATCTCCCCAGATTTCTGGCAATGGGAAAGGATGGCGTGGACGCGGAACAAAGAGTTAACGATTTTTTTAGGAACATGGATCATGAAAGTTGAGAATAAAAGATATTTGTTGAATGAGGATTTTTTTGTTTCAGATTGAAAGTAAGATGCTATGAATCAAAATCAGTACTTTGCTCAAACCGGAAAGCAAAATAGAAATGATGCTTTATGACAAAGTAAAAAAAGACTAAATAGTTATTTAAAAAAACGACGTGCTAAAAATTCTGCATTGGATATGCTACAATATTGTCGATATGCTAATTTAATGTTTAACATAAAAATTCTACCTTTTAACCTTTGACCTTCTCCTCTACGTAGGTTGAAATGATGGTGATTTCTGAAATAGAGGTCAACCAATTTTGGTGATATTTCGTCATCATTCTGGTCTCAGGAATTGGTCCAAGTGTGTAAAAGTATATCACGATGAGACAATTTTTCTCTGACTTTTCAAAGAATTATCACTAAATTTATGCTTTTAAATAAATAGCATCTTTTCACAATTAGTAAAACAAGTTTATCATTCTAAACGATTACATAAAAATCAAATTTGTAAAGTTTCCCGTATTTTCCAAACAAAAGAAAACACATCACAAGAATCCTTCCTCATTTGTAAACGTACCCCGAAAAATAAATATGCCTCCTTTCACCATCATTTCCTTCCTTCCCTCCCACGTCCTCATCTCAGTCAGTGGCCGCGGAAGCTTGAGGGGACATTGTCCCTCTGTCCCCACGGTTTATCGATGTCCCCATAATCTCCCCATCTTATACAAACCCGGTCCTCCCCCCAAATCCTACAATGTTACCGTCCCCTCATGTCCCCACAGCTTCCGCGGCCACTGCTCCCAGACCCAGCATTGTTTTCCCATCCGTACTATTTTGGTACTTGAAGAAACCTCTTGTAATTTTTAATCGTATTTGCAGCACTAAAACAAGCAAGCATTTGAATGGCAGACGAGAGGAGAATAATCAAAATCCGCTTTCTCCCAAAAGGAGGAAAGGAGGAGAGGAAAGGAGAGGTACAAAGCATAGCTTATACATAAGTAAGCAGGACGAATGTTTGTTTCCAATTTGTCCCATGTTTGCTCACCGGATTGCTTTGATGTTGAAGGAACCAGTCAAATTTTTAGTTTTGTGATCTTTTCTTTATTGGACTTGACACTTCCTCTCGAGGACTTTCTCTCTCCGATGTGACGACCTGATACAGGCGCAATAATTTTATGATACAATTGCTACCGGTGAAGGTACTGTATGTGCCATTCGGTAATAATTTGACACCGTACGGTAACATATATATAAATCCTGCTCAATGTCAACGCTTTTGTAATAAAGATATTACCGACACTGGAGGCAATTTCTTAGCAACTTATTATATACTATAGTGTTACCACATGGTATAATTTGCATAGTATTACCTCCGACGGTAGCATAAAATTATTCAGAGTGTATGTATAAGCTTGAAGAGGAGGAGGGGCTAAATTCAGTGGCTGCGGAAACAGAGGGACAATATGTCCCCACGGTTGCTCGATGTCCGCATCATGTTACATAAACCCGGCCATTCCCCCCATCCTACAATGTTAATGTCCCCACACCTTCTTACGCGGCCACTGGGTAAAATAATGCCGTATGGCATAATCAACGCAAAGAGAGCAATAGTACCCATTATTATGCACTTTCGTCCCATATGGCACTGCTTAAACGGGAGGAGGACGACACAGAGTCTTCTTGAGATTAAAGACCACTGGGTGCTTATCTTCCTTTATGACCAGAGTATAAACCTATCCATCCATCCGATCCCATCAGGCGTTGTGTATCTAAATATGTGGACGACGACGACCACCACTTACTTGTTGTGTACACAGTGGCCGCGGAAGGATGCGTGGGGACATAGGGACAATGTCCCCAGGGATATTCAATGTCCCCATCATCCCCCCATGCTATATAAACCCATCCCTCCCCTATCCCATAATGTTGACGTCCCCCCCTGTCCCCCCCACAGCTTCCGCGGCCACTGCGTGCCCCCATACATATGCTGCGTCTCACTTCATTACGAAGCACCGACAAGAATGACTTCTTTCTCTCCTACTTACTTTCACCAACCGACAAACGAAATCAGCTCGCTCGCTCACTTGGCAGGCAGACTTGGATGTGGAACAATGGCCAGATTTAAGTACATCGTGACCCGGGTATTTCACCCAAGGTTAAACAGATAAAATGACTCGTGTGTGCTCAAGGTGTACAAATAAACGGTGTGCTTCCCGTCCGCGTGGATGAGGGAATAAGCAGAACAATTGAATCGATATGAACATTTCCCATAATTATTTTACCTCTCAAAACGGTAATATCCACTCCGTCGGGGTAATATACGCCGGGTTAATAGGAAAATTTATCTGCGCCGCGTGGCCCTAAAGCTGGAGGAGGGACGTTCATCAACTACAATGGAAATAAATATGACCCATCGGACGCCAACAAGGATGATGGACTATTTATAACTTTGGGTCAAGAAGCAAACTTCATTCATGGGTAACTTGCGCCAATGTTGAACTATAACATGGGCGCAAGTTGTCATTTAAGTATATATAAACCAGTGGCAGAATGTATCAATTTATTTCCCATTGATAAGCCTGCAGATCAAGAATTAAGTTTCACTCATTCCTAACTTGCGCCAATGTTATACTTTATTGGCTTAAGTGGCTATTTATAAACCAGTATCAATGAAATACATCAATTCTTTTCCCCTCGATTAGAGTGCTAATTTCCGTTCGCACACAATTTATGTGCCGCCTCTCTCCACCCCGACACCTTTATCCCCTACCCGTCCTCCTCCTCCTCCAACAACTAAAACCATTAATGGACAAGTATTTACTCACTCATATCTACGACCAACATCGTCAACCCGTATGTAGCTATCATCTCGGAGGACACGATGTCACCAGTTCATCACAACAACAGTTGTTGTATGTACATACATATCAATCGAAGCATCCGGATGGATAACGCCGCTTGTATGAGTAATAAACCGTTGCAAACGCACATAAATAAGTAGCTTCAGTCACACTTCACCCCGAAACCACTCCCACATCATGGGGGGAACACTTGACTTAACTGTATTTTACTACATTCAATTTCAGTGAAAATCTCATTTTCCCCCTGGAGCCACACCCCCCACTGGCGCCTAGGGGGTGGTCCAATTGACTCCTAAAGTTGATAGGATCCTCCCCCTGAAGGCATATGTATGCTATCGCAAACCGATTTTGATGATCTCAATCTATTCTCCCGTTATCCTACGGACAGACAGACGAACAAAATCTTCCCATAAAACAGCTAAAGTTGATACATCCTCCCCCTGAAGTCATATGTACAACGCCTCAAACCGATTTCGATGATGTCAATCTATTCTCCCATCATCCTGCCGACAGACGGACAGACAAACCGACGGACCAACTCTTCCCATAAAGAAGCTTCAGCTACTTAATAAGGAGACCCTCTCCCTGTTCCTGGTTGTCATTCTGCTCTTCTTAACTACTCATTAAGGTTTTGAGTGGTGGTGATAAAACGAAAAGTACACGGCGCCCTTATTATTCCTTCACCTCGTCACCCTTCCTCCCTCTCGTCTTATTTTTGATGGTGGTTTCATGTGACAAGTTTCAAGCTGCTGTCAGAAAATTCATCTCAAAATTGAGTCTGCCTACTGCCTCTTGCAACACAACACAAACACACACTTACCACTTGCCGGACGTGGTAGAGATACACCGCGACGGAGTCTGAGTCGTAGTGAAAGCAAGCAGGAAGAAGAGCTTGCTTTCTCCCAGAAAACCAACCAGCTTTCCCTTTTCTGTCGCAGTCTCGTCGCTCCTCTCAAAGTCGGCAGAACGCTTTCTCCCCGACCAAATCTCATCTCTATTAAGCTC